TTTTAGAATTTGCTTTTTCTTTGTAATCATCAGTTACAAAGCTAAGGAAATGGAAATAAACATTTTGATAATGAGAAAGTTGTACAATGAGTCAAATTAATAGGTCTAGTGGGTCATCTTTCATTTCAGCACAATAAATATAATCAATGTGGTAAAACTTCAATCGTTCAAAGAACCCACAAGTAAATGCTTAAGTGATCGGAAGTTTCGTGGTGTGCATAATGTCCTTTTTCCAAATACCTCAAAGTACGTTATTCTTTCCCCTAATAGATACTCTGGGCACATTTAAATATTACCAGGGCTACAGTAAAACAGATTTTTCTATGTTTATTTCTTCTTGGACAAACATTTGACTCTCCTGTTCATAAATCTTTCTTATATGTTTGTTTATATGTGTCAAATAACTACAGGTACAGAAAAACAATATTTTCTGCTCTTTGCCATTTTTCTAGGACATCAGGTTCTGGGAGAGTCTTGGCTTATTAATGTACCCAGCTTTCCCAGCATTTATCACAAATGTAAATGAACAGTCTGTGGTGTAGCCTGTTCTCAGGATTGCTCTGATGATCATGTTGCTATGGTGACAACAGAGCACACAGGTTCATGAGACAGTATTAGTAATGCTGCAGCCTGAAACTTAATCAGCACACCGCGACTTCTCCCCCATATTTCAATATCACTTCAGCAAATTGAATTCCAGGCAGTTGTCAGTCTAATGTATTCCCCGTGGTTTCGCTTCTGCAAAATTGCCTCTTTATTCTATACACTGATGATCATGGGGTAATTGAAATCTGCAGCTGTTTGTCATGCTATTTATACAACTCTGTCTTGTAGCCAGCAACCTTTGTGTGGTGTGCACTGCAGGTAACAATTAGATCCAGAAACCTTTTTTTGGTTGAACAAGTGAACGATTGTTTTCCCCCAATACTCCTGATTTTGTGGGTATTTTGCGTGATACCTTGTTTTGCTGGGGGAAGTTCAGCCAAGGTTTAATGACACTATTACGGCAGTGTGACAGGGCTTTGCATTCTTTGCTTCCAATGACTGTGAGACAATTGGAGTGTTGAGAAAAAGGGCCCGCTCCCCAGGGAGGGTGCCCCCGACTCCCCAACAATTCGCTTTCCAGCAGTGTCAGAAGCCGGACTCGCCAGCTTGCAGGGGCCCTGAAACGTTGGCAACAATAGATGTGAAAACACGATTCAGTGTGGAAAAGACAGCAACGCTGGGGCGCGCGGCCTGGCATGGGCACAGACCACGCGCTCTCCTTGGGTTGCTTTGTATGGGGGATCAGAAGTCCTTTTTCTCTCCCCCAGGGAACAGACCCATTATCAAGTCTCCCCATAGCCCTCTTTGGGTTGTTTTGAGGGTCACTACATGACTTTCTTTCTGAACGTGAACTCCACAGGAACATAAACTGGGCATTATCTGAAGCCCAGCAGGTAGAAAGGCCCCCACCCCCAACACACGCTGAAATGAATGCAGAGCTGTTGCCCTCCCGTTGAAGCTAGATCATTCCACTTGATGTGTTTCCCCCACTAAAAACTGGAAATGATCACAAGAGATAGGAATGGGGGATTTCCTGTTTTTATAAAGTAGAATAATGGAATGAGTGGATAGAGCAGGCCAGGGGGCTGAATTTTCCCCTTTCTCTATTAATCCCTCATTACACCCTCCCCTTTTCTTGGTGCTGACGCAATTGCTGCTTCCCGCTAAGCCTCCGGGCTGGGTGCAGCTTCCCTTCTCTTTCCTTGTGCCCCACCCCCTCCCCTGGGTCTTGTTGCTGTGGAATTCAGGCATTGACATTGTCTAGGGGCACCTGGCGCCATTTAAAAGTGATTGGAGGTCCAATTTTGAAGAATCCTGTTTTTGTTGTTGTGAGTAAACCAAAGGCCGTTGCTGGAGGGACACAGTGGAACAGGAGGCCTTACTGGACGGCATCTCTGCCAGGTTACAAGGCCTCTGCAGACAGGAGACAGAGAGTTTCTGCAGTGTGTTTTGAAACATCGGGATTCATTTCCCCCTAACGTGTTGGGAAAGTTGTCCAGCAGTCCGACAGTGTTCTTGCTTGACTACCTGTTGCTTTCTGGCCAATGAGTGTGCAGAGTAACATTGACCTGTTCACATCAGGAGGCTTTACCTGCCCACAGCCAAAGCTGAATGGGTCTTCGTAGCTTGGTGACATCCGATGACCTCAGGATTCTCTTCTGTGTGACTTAGGTTCCTCCTTTCTTCTTTTCTGACAGGACCTCATAAGTATTCCATCTCCTCGACCCCTTCCAATGACCCCTTAATGGCCATGAAACAGATTTCCAGGGCAGAAGGGGCTAAAATGTAAAATAATGTTTAAAGGCGATTGCTACATTCACATGGTTGCCACGTTTGCATGTTTGCAGCACAGGCTCTCCACTCACGGGCTGTCCACTCCGTCAGCTTTCAGGAACAACTACCTGATCTGAACACCGGCTCAGCAAGAAGGACTGGTTAAAACAGGGGGCCACCAGATGGCTCAGCACTGGTAATAACACCCATCTGAGAGAGGTACAGGATTGTGGGTAATGTAAGGCTCCAGGTGGAAAAATTAAGTCAAAAGACTGTTTAAAGCTTTTATTTAGAGAAGTGAATCCCAAATCACCAGGTGGAAACGTTCTTTTTCTGTTATAGGCAGAGTTCCACTAAATCACCCAGAATCTGCTGTGGCTTGAGTTGCTGTGCCAAGGCCTTCACTGTTCCCGTGTCCGGGGGTCTTGCGATGCGCTTCCTGGCCTTGGTTCTGGGGTGGTCTCTGTGGCCCACCCACACTGTAAGGCCAAGGCTCTGCAGAGTGGCGAGGTCGATTTTGCGGGTTTGTGGGTTTTCATTTTTTGATGATGCCACGTCACCCTCTGCATACAACAGGAAGGTGGATGTTTAATGTCATTTCGAGGTGGTTCTCCAGGGTGAGAGTTTCCCAGGCTGCTGTGTGAGGAGATGGCCCCTGGGCCCTCAGGAGACCTGTGGAGCCTGCAGGAACTGGGCCTCTTTAGACCATTCCTTGGAATTCTTTAGAAGATTCTACCATGCTTTCCATCTGGCATTGACTAGACCAGGGCAAATAAACTGATCCTTCAGCTCACATTGGATCTCAATTTATTGAACTGGTTTGAGCTTATCACCCTGTTCCTTAACATTATTCTCAGGTTGCCTCATGGGTGTGTACCCAAACTCTGCCAGGCCAAAGCCGCCTGTGGATTTCAGTTTACCCTGGGCCTAAATCACCTTTCTCTGAGCCCTGGCCCATTCCACCTAAGGGGAACTCGCCCCCTATAATTACACAGGCTATTTCGGAAATCCCCAAATGGGTATCTTGCAGTAAGCATCGACATCCAATGTGCTCCTCTATTTTCATCTCAGGTGCTGCTGAGGGTGCTGTGTCGGGGTGAGGCCCGTGGAGGGTCCCTGAGGTCCGTCTTCAGAGATTAAGAGGTGAGATCTCGGTTCATTCCAGCTCTGTGCTGTGGCTGGTCACGTAAGCTCTGATACAGCTGTACTTGCGCCCGGACTGAGGTATGAATTACAGCTTTTGAGAGCTAATTCTTCTTTTTCATCTTACAAAACTTTTTGTTTATGTTTTGTTAGCAGAAGTCATTTATCCCTCACTGTTATGGTTTAGATATGAGGTGTCCCCCCCCAAAACCTCACGGGTGAGACAATACAAGAATGTTCCCAGTGAAATGATCAGATTATGAGGGTTGTGACCTATCTAGGGGATCCCATAGATATGGATTGACTGGGTGGTAACTGTAGGGAGTTAGGGGTGGCTGGAAGAAATGGGTCCGTGGGGGCGTGCCTGTGGGGTTGACATTTTGTTCCTGGTGAGCAGAGCCCTCTCTCTCTCTCTCTCTCTCTCTCTCTCTCTCTCCTCCCTGATTGCCGTGACCTGAGCTGCTTTGCTCTGCAATGCCCTCCACCATGAGGTTCTGCCTCTCTTTGGGTCTAGAGACATGGAGTCTGCTAACTATGGACTGAGACCTCCTAAACTATGAGCCCCAATAAGCTTTTGCTCCTGTGTATTGTTTTTGTCAGGTCTTTCATCACAGCCATGAAGAAGGTGACCAAAACCCCCACCCAGCTTCTTGTGGATCTCACAGGTCAGTCATGGACCTCACCTCATGGGTTTGGGGGAATTTTCAGCACTCCATCTGCGTCCTCTAAAGCAAGCTCATCTTCCTTGCTGTGGTCATCCTATCCTCAAGAGAAGCCTATTTTATTTTTTAAAATTTTCTTCCATGCTAACCACAGTTTGTATTTTTTCCTTAGAACCACAGTATCTTACGTACCTTGCGTCTAGAATTGATGCTTTGCTTTGTGTTTTGCCCAATTAAAAGGCTTTGTAGGATGAGTAAGTTTTTCTAAGAATTGCCAGCTTCAAAGATAAATGAAAATCTCTTGCAAAATGGAGAACTACCCCTTTTAGTTTTCAGGTTTACTGATTTTACCTTCTCTACGGAGACGCAAAGACCTGTGGTCACTTTTAGGTCACAGCTTGAGCTCTCAGAAATCTGTGCTTTCCCATCCTTGAGCAGTTTCTGCAAGAAACGTTCATCTCCCAAGCGTATAATCTAGGATGGGATCTCTGTTTTGTGTTGTAGCAAGATCCAGACAGTTTTGGCATTCTCTCTCTCTCTCTCTCTCTCTCTCTCTCTCTCTCTCTCTCTCTGTGTGTGTGTGTGTGTAAGTCAGTAATCACTAGGGCAAGTGTTTACAGTAGCTCAAAAGAGAGCAGGCTGTGCCCCACGTGTTGTTCACTCAGGTTTTACAAAATAGACTAGCCACCCCCATCTCTATCCCTACGGCATTTGGTTTCACCTTCGAAACCCAGGGGCAGGTGTGGCTGGAGCACACAGGTTAGTATTGTTTAGACAAGTAAATACATTACATAGAATCTTATACAACGAGTGTTAAGGAGAGAAATCAACAGAGAATCAGTGCCGTGTGGGTGTGGGTTGCCATTTCAATGGGCGCGCAGAGAGGGCTACACGGAGAAGGCTGCACAGGAGGAAAGGTCTGAAGGACGTGGACCAGGAGCTCTGAGAGGAGAAGGCAAACCGAAGGCTGGGGAGCAGTGTGCCTGGTGTGGAAGAGGCCAGAGTGTCTTGTCAGGTCAGTGCGTGGCATCAGAGGGTGAGGGGGACAAGCGTCAGCTGTGTGGAGAAGCTGGAGCGCTTCCCTGGACTCTAGCTCTGTCCTTCTAGAAAGTAACGGGAGACCCGAGCTGGACTTCCCTCAGAGTTCTCACGGCAAATGGTGCTTCGCCTCGTGAGATGGCTGAGACCCACAAGGGCAGCACTGTGGCTCGTGTGACTGGATTTAAGTGACGGGAACAGGAGGCGTGGGTGTTTTTGCTAGCCCTGTTCACCTACTGGCACCCCAACAGGATTGGGGTTTTCTCCAGGATGCTACCTACGGCAAAGCAAGAGGGGAAAGGTGCATAAGGAGTGTGTAAGAAACAGTCAGGGAATCTGTCTGGTGTGGAGGGTGGCGAGTGTCAAAGGGAGGTGCTTAAAGAAGAGTGGAGGGATCCAGAGATTAGGTACCTGGTGGGGCATATGAATGTAGGAGCTGAGTTCTTGAAGAAATGAGCTGGAAAGACAGGAGGGGAGAGCGGGATCCGGGTGCTTCAACAGAAACCAGGAGAGCGGAGCTACCGTGTGATGATAGCTCCTGACCGGTGGTTGATGGTGGCCATGACCCACTTCAGCTGCTGTGGACTCCGTTTAATGGTCAAGGTCAGCACTGTAAAATGAAATAGGATGGGATGGAGAGTATCAGCCTGTATTCAAGTAATAAGGACAGGCATTGCATTCTGGAAAAGCTTCTCTTACGTACATTCATGTAAATCATGTACATATGGAGCTCTGTTTGCATTGGTTCATAACGTGAAGCACATTTCTTAGTTTAAGACAAGGTCACAAAGTTTGAAAAACACCCTAGGATTTGTTCATGGGGGAGAGCAGCTGAGTGTCAGTTTGTTGGAGGTGCTTGTATGGCGTGAACAGTCTAGGGAAGAAAAACACAAAACAAAACTCAAACGACCTATGGCTGAGCCAAATATACATACTAATTTATTTTAAAAAATTTTTATTTTTTTGATCTTACCTGATTTCCTTCAAGCCAAATCAAAATTTTCCTGCTTTTTCATTTCCATGGGCAAGGAAACATTACTTGTAAGACATGAGCTTTCTTAAATTAAAAATACGGATTCCTAGACACCTCAACTCCCTGGCAACACTAAAGGATGTATTAAAAACTATGTTCGCCCTCCCCTAAATAGTTAGCTCTTCCATAAGCATATTGGAAATTTAAAGCCACATCCTCAGAAAGAGTCTTATGATTTGGTGTTTGGCCTTTCAGCATCTGTGGAAGCCCACAACTGAAATACAGTGACATGGGCATTGCCTGGACCTCCGGTCCTCAAACTACCTCTGAGTCCTGTGACCTCTGCAAGTGGGAGGTGGTGGTGGTCACATCTGTGCCAGTGCGTAGGTGCAGTTGTCTCCAAGGGTGCCACACACTGTGAAGGCTTCCAGCAGCAGACATGCCTTCTATCACAGAGCAGGAAGCCAGAAGTCCAGAATCTAATGGTCAGCAGGGCCCTGCTCCTGAGACCCTGGGCCTCAGCCTGCTCATCTCTGTGTGGTGTCTGCTGATGGCCTCAGTCCTCAGTCCTGGGCAGGCCTGGCCTTACAGCAGTGTCACTGTGGACTCTGCCTCTGTCTTCCCAGAGTTTTATCTCCCACTGGCCCACATCTCATAGGACACTAGTCCTGTTGAGTTAAGGGCCTATCTTATTATAGATTGATCTTAGCTAATTGTGTCTGCAATAGCCATTTTCAAATAAGGGCACATTCTGGGGTGCCAAGGTTTAGGACTTCAACATGTCTTTCCTGGAGACCCAATGCAACAGTGTGTGTCTGGGAAGCTGCCCGTGAGCTCCAGCTGCAGAGCCGATGGAGAGCCGAGGCTCCCACAGCCTTGTGTGCTTGGTGGACATGGGAGGCAACGCTGTTCCATGTGGGCGTAGGGATGGCTTATGAATCAACCAAGTCACAGGTGCTTCTGTTGTGCAGGTCACGGTGCCCTGGGGTAGAAATACATAAGGAAGTTTATATTTAAAACAATCATCCTCCCAATCCAGACAATGTTTATTTGAACTGTGTCTCAAAATGGCTCCTTTTGGAAGCCACCATTCCTCCTTTGAGGGTCTAATATTGTCAGTGCAAGTGATGATGCTAGGAAAAGAAGAAGGCAGCTTCCGTGGAGAAGTAGGCAGAAAGTAGGGAGTGTTATGTAACACGTGGGAGACTCTAGATGGGTGACAAACTCCGGCTCTTAGCATACTGCTCCTAAGCAATGGGCGGGGACATCTGAGTGGAGGAGAGCAAATTGCTTTGTCTACCAAGGTTCTCTTCTCTTCACGCTCACTCTCGTATAGCTGTGTCTCCTGCACAGGAAAATCTTAAGAAATGATGTAGACTCTCGGATCTACCTCGTGGATGCTGTGCTTCTCTTTGTCAATGGCAATTTGGGGCAACAGAAGCGTCCAAAGGTTATGTAGTTCAGACAGAGAGATGAGATCAACATTAACATGGGTTTTCTTCCTCATCTGTTTCTTAGAGACATAGTCTTTCATGCAAAAGGATCCCCAGTGTCCCTATTCTTTCTCTATCTTGCAGAGCTGCAATATTAAACAGAATTAAAGTCAGAATAATACAATGTTTATATTACTTTTTTTAGCAAGCTTTTTGATAAGTTGAACATACACAGAAAAAAATTAAAACAGTAAAAAATACACATACCAAAAAGTCAATCTCCTTCTCGCCCCCATAGTGCACATCCTTGTTTTATCTGTAAGAAACACAGAAAGCGGTTCCTTTAAGCATTGCCTTTGTTTATGAAGTTGCCATTCCTGATTCCTAGTCAGTAGGACAGGTGAGGGGAATTGCACTTCCAGAAGAAATCGAATGATTTGTATATGTGCAAATATGTAACAAGGAACCCCACCACTGTGATGATGCACCAATGCAAATATGGGAAAAAAATAATTTAAAGATGTGGTCAGGCTAAGGAGCAGAATTCATGCAACTGGGAGAAACCAAAAGGCTTTGACCTGCTCACCTGGGTTTTCTGCATGTCATGCCCTGAAACTCAGTGAAGATCACATTCAGAAAAATATGCACACATTGAAATTGGCATGGAAGAATTATCTAGGATGTGAGATTTATTTTCTCATGAGAAAAAAAAAAAGAAAGTTGTCCTTATTTAGAAGGAAACTGAAATAGCCCTTGACGTGAATAGTCCTCATTAAAATACCACCTGTGTGCTTCTGTCCTCCAGAGAAAACCACCAACACCAGGGAAGGGTCAGATCTGCTCCAGAAATCGTAAATCATACCAATTATTCCCATGCAACCCCGTAATCCAGTTCCTGGTTTGAAACTGTGAAACTTGCGAAGGGTTTTTGCTCTTACAGTGTGGACCCAAATGAAAAAGGTATTATAAAAGGTTATTGCAGCCAGGTCTAAGAGAGTCCTGTCGATTGAGAGGGAAGAAAATGCAAGTCGACGTTATAAAAGATTACTTTCTGTGTGGCTAATGATCACTTTTGGTTTCAGTTTTCCTGAATGTTCAGGAAAGAAAGAGAGCTCACAGGAAAGGAATTTATTGCAAAAGAATAATTGCCCAGTACATTACACAGCACAGTAGGGTTATAATGAGCATGGGAAAGTACAATATCTAACCAACCCTTAGAGTTACAGTAATAGTTTGATTCAACTTCCTAATACGGAATGCTGAGCAATCATAGTTTTGCCCAAAGGATGGGACTGCAATTGTTTTGAAAGTTTCTTGGGGGAAATGCAATTAGTGACAAGATTTAATAAAGCCAAAACAACTGAATGTGATGAGATGAGCCGCTATTCTTTTATTCTTTCTATGTAATGTAAGAAAATAGCAAGACAACGATTACATTATAACTAAATGAATTAAACAAAGCTCCAAAACATAAATTAGAATTTAACTACGCCATTAAAAACTAATTTAATTTGCAAGCCATCATTACTAGATAATAAAGACCCATTGCAAAATGTACA